ATCGCCCTTGAGGAGTCCTGAGGTTTGCCACAAGCTCAGGTTTCGCGACACCACTATCTCGCTTCTCGACCGACGGACGGATCGGGAAACGAGTCTTCTGAGCCGGAAGACGGAGATGCGCGGACTCTGGCAGGACTAGCTCTCAAGCCAGCCAGATCGAATAATCGTGAACCTGTTTGTTAGTTTGTTGGTTTCGACCAGAAAAGAGCTCTCGTACAGGAATGCCGCCTCATCGTTATTTGACGTTGGCGTTTTCTGGAGGAAATCTCTTTCTAACGTTCGGTGTTTCCGGCTTCGCTCGATCGCTTGGCCGCTCGATAGAACGGGAATCGAGACCTTTCCAGATTGTACCGCTAAGCCATTGGGGCTGGCGGAATTCCTCCGAGGGTCGTGCAAACATAAGAATTCACCCAATTACTCGGTAGCATCATCTGGTCACTGAACTGAAAGCCTCTTATTCATTCCGATCCGAAGTCTCTGGGCTCAAAGATGGTCGCCCGGCAACGACGAATGAGAGAGACGGGGGAGCAAGGAGAACATCAGATTGATGAAGCTGTAGGTCAATTACCCGAGCAGCTTCAGAGTAGACCTCGGGACGAACTTAAATCTCCTCCAGAAAACGAGATTTTTCTTCAAGGCCCTCATTAATTAAGGGTCTTGCCCGTCACGATGCTTCATCTCGGACTATTTTTTTCACCAAGCTGAAGCACAAGGCGGGTTTCTAGACGATCGATGAAAGCTGCTCTTTGTGATTGCTTCGACGTCGAGAGCAAGCAGAAGTTTCGCTAATGGGAAATTATAGTGATTCAGGTCTGCAATTCGTTACACAGAGGTAGCCGTATCGGATTGAGTCTGCTTGTCAGACGCTGAGCTCTCAGGTCGGGCCCTTATGCTTATGTTTGGAAGCTCCTCGAGCTTGTCGACTCCGAGGACTCTCAATCGCAGGCCACTCGCTGATTCTCGGTCTCTCTGCCGTGTCCGATGTTTTCAGTAATCTCCGATTCATTCTCTGAAGTAGCAAAGCGAATTGATGGGAATCGCCGTCCAGGCGAGGACCCTAATTCTACCAGAGGAGACCGAGACCGCATAACTTGTTGTTGTCACTTCTTCGAGAAGGGTCCGCAGATGCCAATACAAAGCAGCTGTCTTTCCCTGATCATTTCCGGAGCCACCATATCATTGCGTATCAGACTTGAGAAATGATTGTCAATTTCTCTCGGAGGGGTCTGGGCGGAAAGATTAATTTTCCCCTAATGAAGAGCTCGATAGAGAGTGTTCCCAACGCCGGGAGGGCCTGACCGATAGCTCGATGCTTGGCTGTTGGGGATCTGTATTCATGTGAACCATAACCTTTGACGGGCTTCCCGATTTGTTCGCGGGAGGTTTTCCGGCAGAGCCGCGAGGTCTGTGAATGATTCGGCGGTACAAGTCGTGGGTCGCGGAAAATACTTCCGTCAGAGTGAATGAACGAACTCAAGACTTGATCGATCATGCCGACGTTGTTTTCCGGCACGTACGGCTCGCTCATTCCTAACGTTAGCTGATGCATTCGGAGAGATATTCCATTCAGATGATATCGAAGAAATTATTAACCGCCTGGGGTGAGGCGTAGCGTCCGTGTAGCGAGTGGAGCGGTCGCCCCATTTTCTGTCGCGTATTCTCTGCGCAAGAATGCGTATTTACTCACCTGCGTAGCGCCTCGACAGCTGGGGGACTGAATTTCCGGAAAACTCAATTCGATCCCTAGATTGAGTTCCTCTGTAAGAGATCCAACGGGGAACTTTGGATTTTCATTTTTCTTTGTAGAAACGGAGACATCTTCTTTTGGCGGGATATCGACAATCGGAGTTGAGATAGACAGCTGCAGCTGAAAGCGACCTGCTCCTGTGGGGAGTCCATTCGAATGGAAATCTCGATGCGAAACCCTGCTGCGCGTGTGGCTCCGAGAAGTTTACGACGATGTTTTTGTCCCTCGACGCATCATGCGAATAAAAATATGAGGAGGTCTAAAAATAAAGCTCTTCCTTCATCCGCGCGCAAGTTCTCAGCGTCAGATTTCAGCTGAACAATGTGGCACGAGCCCGTCAGCTCAGTGATCGCTGACGTCGGCTAGGAGGGAGCCCGACAAGAGTTCTCCGTTGACGGATAGCCGTTCAACGGAATGAGGCGGATCGCGATGGCAATCTCACTGATATCACTCTGAGAAATTGCAACGGGCTGATTGAGCTATTCTCAACGTCTCGAAGAATCATGCAACCGAGGCTCTATGCCTCAAGCCTGCATTCTTGAGATGCATTGTTCACGTCGGAGATCTCCCATGAGAATCTCTCTGGCTAGAACAAGAGCTTAGACATTGTGAGCACTGGGGGGAACTTCCCCGAAGAGAACTTAGAGCTGAATGAGGACAAAAGCGCTTTCTTTTCCGAGGTTCCTCGAACGCATTGTTCAAACTCTGCCCGGAAACACGCTAAACTTGTCCGGATCTGGAATCCGAGAGAAGCCTGGACGCCAGAGGGAGGAAGATGGACAGCGTCGAGATGATGGGTATTAGGTGCAGCGCTCGTGGAGCGTGCATGTCAACTCGCTGGACGCCGCGCAGACGGTGAAAGGCATTCGAACGCTTCAATGAGGTCATCGTCGAACATCCCTAGTCCGGGACCGTGAGGACCACAACGGCAGTGTTCGCAGGGAAGGTCCTTTTTCGGCCCCCTACGACATTGATTCGATTTCATTTCCGCTGGCATCAAATACCATCTTGGACCTTCAAATGTGACAGGAGATACCCGTACTTCTTCCCTCAATACGAACGTCAAAATCTCCGTTAGGGCCCCGTGCTTAGGGAGAGGAACTTGCGATCCGATGGCGAAGGGATCCTGGAATTCATCAGCGAGCTACGTTCGGCCTCACTTTCCCGATCTGCTCCAGTAGGTCGAATCGACGGATGCGGAAGCTGAGCCCGCCCAGAATTTCGCTCCGGGATTCTGTGAGAAGGCTTGTTCGTTCATCTACAGTCGAAATCGAGCGGGTACAAAAAAATCGAGCACTCTCCCTCAAAGTCCAGGGCCCCATCTGCCGTGTGACCACTTGAGCACTCCGATTCCCGGTTCTCTTGTTCTCCCGTATGTGGGGATCTGACGACTACGGATCGGGAGATGCCTAGAAAAACGGAGCATCGCCGCTCGAGCGTAGCTCCACGCTGAGACTGAGACATACATACAATCAGAACTTGTTTCTTTCTCCACTACTTATAAATGAGGTCTTTCGGGGCGAACCACGAGGGGTCTTTGGAATCGACGGTTGACTATGGGAGAAAGGTCGTAATCTCGAGAACTCACACGGGAGCGTCAGATATTCGCGTCACATCGAGCTCCAGATTTGCCAGTATAAATGCTTTCATAGACGGAATAGCGTTCCCGCTCGAGTCTGTGCAAGTAGCACCATCCCGGGGCCCAATCGGACCAGTGACGGCTCCTGCGAGGCGCGGGCAGGTATAGCCGTCGGTCTCCCGCAGCGAGCTCTCTGGTCTCCTGACACTTCATTACGATCCGTCTTCGCTTGGTTCCGTGTCTCGGGTATCCTACAGCCGGAGCAGCTACAGCACTCGTTCGGTGCAGAAAAAAAAATCGGTTTCATCCAACAGGCCCTGGACAGGAGTCCCCGAGCCCACACAATCCGATTCTTGATCGGAGGATTTCCGCGGGTCTCTCGATTCCTCCTGAGGTTGGAGCACACTCGCTCGGGCTAGAAGGACTCCCTATGGTTCTGGACCTCATTTCCCTGAAAAGCGCGCTTTCTGCGAAAGGCCAGCCGCTTCCCACAGAAACTCCAATTCATTGAGAGGTCCATGCCGAACTACTAAACTCAGTTTTTCAAGATTGATCCGGCACTTCAGAGCGACAGGTCCGATCCTAGCCTTCGTGGCCGAGACATATCCGGTATCCTATCCAATACGGGGTTCGGAATATATTGTAGTTAGAATATCATGAAGAGACGATTCGACACTGAGTGGTCCAACTTCGGTTCGAGCTTGGGAACCCTGCACTCTGGGAATACTCCATCACCTGATTCAAATTCTACTTGATATCGTGGGGATTCTGCGCGCGAAAGGTTCCCTGCAATATAGTAGGAGAGTTTTTTAACCCTCAGTGAAGGACCCGAAGCTTCCACGATCGATATGCTTCTTGGAGCCTAGCCTCCTGTGTTTGATGCTCCTCAGAGACATTGCTATGCCGGCCGCTTTCCGTCACGAAACTTAATCGCTCCCGCCGACTAGTCCATGATGAGCTCTCCAAGATAAGTTCACGGCAATCCGTCGATCACTCTTTGCAGTTTGTCCTACCGTACCCGAGAAGTCATCGAAAAAAGCTGACCTTCCGACCCGCTCCGGGAGCAGAAAGCATCTCCCGACTCTCGGAAACTTCAATTGAGGACGGCTTGAGTATTAGGCTCATACTCTATGAGTCACAGACTATGACGGATTCTGGGACGAGGTAGGAATCAGATGGAGAATAGCAACCAATCCTAGGGGCCTTGATGCTCCGGAGCGTAGTTGTTCGGGAACATCTGAGTAGATTTCCTCCGTTTTCGGAATGGACTTTGCGCCGGTCGGAAGATCCCATCCCGAAACTGAGGGTACCCTGTTCCAGCTCCAGTCCACCAATGTCACGCTCTGCGAAGAAGCCGAATCTGACGACGCCAGTTAGCGAATTCAAATGAATCGCATACCCCCCTCCTATAGGTGTAGTCGGAATCGCCCTGTCGTGAAATAAAGATTGCGAAGTCTGGGATGGAGAGACATCACGTCCGATTCTTTGTAGGGGATCAATCATGAGAAACCCCGTCTTGCCATCTTTTCTTATGAGTCATCGGGCTGGGACTGCGAGAGTCTTAGCCTCAATCTCGGCCATCGATGGAGGTTCGACATCCGCCCGGTCCAATTACGAATTACTGTTGTACATTTCAATGTATGAAGAGCCTATTCATTGCTAAGAGAATTTCTCCACGCCGAAAATGCATCATCACTCATTACACACGGATCTACACTGTCGAACAGTCCAGGAGGAGTCATGGTGGAATTCCAAGATTCTGTCGTGGAATTTGTACAAATTATCCCGGTCATGGGAGACCGTTATGGTTTTTATTCCTCGGGTGCGGCACTCCCTGAAAAAAGTCTCCACCAGCGGCTTGTCGAGCGCGTTTGTCGCTTCGTCAAGGAACACGAGCCTCGGTCTGTGGATCAGAACTCGCGCCAAGGCCAATCTTTGCCGTTCCCCGGACGATAGCACTGCCAAGGTCCGTTCGTCTAAATCGTCGTCGAGGTCCATCTTCAGTCTTTCGAAGACTCGGGCTAGGTGTAGTTTGGCGAGGATTTCCGCGATGTCACTCCCGTCGCATTTTCCCGTCTCCTTGCCGTCCAATGGATACATCAAAGTCTTCCGCAGTGTATTGCATGCCGCTCCGAAAAACATGTTTTGGGAGAGGAACATCACTTGATCGTTGTGTCCGCCGAACCTAGCGTGGCCTTCGGCAGGCCCCCACAGTTTTCGGAGAACTCTCAGAAAAGAACTTTTCCCCACGTTACTGGGGCCGGTTATCAGGATACTGAAATCGGTGTTGATATCGATATTCAATTTGCGGACTAGAACAGTCCCGTCTGGTCCGGTGACTGTCAAGTCCCTCACAGAATACGAAGGCTCACTATCAGTTGATCCTTGCTCGTTGATGATCTTGCCCGAATCGTCCATCCCGCCGAGGAGCTCGGCGACTCTCCGGATCATGGCTTCGATGTGGATGAGGTAACAGATGATGCTGACATACCTGTGGCACAGAACGCCGAGCTGTGTTACCACGAAAACAGTTTTCGTCCACTCGGTGCTGATTTCAGCTTCTGACAGATGGCTTCTGTAGGCGAATATATGAGCTCCGCAGATGATGAAGGTCACGACCTTAACCATTCGACCGTCCAGAAGCGTGACGAAGAGGACAGGAAGATAGAGGTATTGAACGATCTTCGATGCTCGCAGTAATTTACTGAACGTAATTTCAGTGTAACGAAATTCTGCGAGGTCGGCTCCGTGCACGAACGCGATACGTTCCGCGTTTTCAACGATGTCCAGGTGCTGTTGTCGGAAACGACCCTCCCAGCGTTGTTTCTCACAGACTCGTGGGACGATGGGGTTCTGCAGGAGTCTGTTCAGAAATACGATAAGGAAAAAATAGCCCACGATGATGAAAGAATAGATCCAACCGAGAGTCGTTCCGACCTGACAGACGTAGTATGAGACAGTGAAAGGGGTTGTCAGGATCGCCGACAGCATCCAGCACAGCGACTCGGCGAGAATGTCGACATCCGAACCGATTCTTTGGTCTGGGTTCGAGATTGGCTTTTCCGCACAGTTCACTTTGTAGAAGTTGTGATTTCGGAAGTACAAACGGTGGAGCTGCCGCGTCAGGGTCTCCCTGAACGTGACGGTTGCGTATCCTGAGAGGAAATTGTTGCACGCGCCGACTAGCGCACCGCAGACAGCGATCCCGCCGATCCAGATGGTCAACAAGGAGAAACCGCGGGCGTCCTGTCGCGTCACGGCACCGACCATGTCTCCCAGTAGCATGCCGTTCTTGAAATCCAAACCGTTTTCCAAGCCTTCGAGTATACACAAGAGCGGCAGGAAACTGCAGAGCATTTTGCTTTCACGGAGCACGGTCATGAAAATTTTCCACACTTCGGCGACGATGTTCGGGAGTTTCGAGAACTCGACCCGATCGAGCTCGATTTTGATGTCGCTCAGGGGCATGGCTGCTCACAGCATGGTCCCGGGATGAATCGCGCCGGTGACCGATCGCGTACTGAGCTCGCTAGCCACTGATTGGCCAATAACTCTCGACGGCTTCTTTCCAGACCGATGCTGATATTTATATATCTCTGCAGTCCATCGGCCGCTGACGCCATGGTGGATGACCACTTGTATAAGGACAACGGACTCTTCAGGAGAATATCTGACACAGTGGCCTTGGATTGAGGCCGAGTGAACTTCCCTCCGAGGGGGTTCATGAAAAATGAAAAATCCTGGCGGATCCCCAGGGGTAGAGCTAGCAGAGGAACGATTCGCAAACGACGTCGATTGCATTTCCATGCTCGGTGGAGACTTCTTATTCGATGAATGTCTATTACACTGGGGAATTCATGTGCATTCTCCGATTCTCTCGCTGCAAACCCAATCGAGTAGAATCGGCTTGCGTCTGAGCATAAGATTGGTATGACGAGGACATATATCGTCCCTTCTGATATTTATGCCCCTCACTGACTTACGAATTGGCGAGCAGGCAAAGAAATCCGGATTTTCTTCCAAATAGTGTCCCGTTCCTCCTACGCGGCACTTCTCTCAAAGGGGATGCCGATGCTTAGGGACCAGGAATCTTTGAGAACGACGCGGTGCAGTAAATTGTCCGCAAGGAGGCTCGTCTCGAAATGCGGGCATCCTCACACGAAGGGATACTTCACGGGGAGCCTGGAGAGGCTGAGACGCTCGACCATCGGGATATGTGTGTGAACTCAAGCTTTCGTGAAAATAAACCATCTCAGGATTTAGGATACAGGATACATATGGGTCAATCATACAAGAAAACGGTGTTCGACGGAGGTGTGGTCGACGATTCCGAGCACCATGTCGAAACCAGTGCCTTCTCGTCATAACGGGAAGACCTATTTATTGGAATTTCACACGGTCTCTCTCTCAGAATTATTGTCAGCCAAACATTTGATTGTCCACGTTGAATCTTCCCGCAATTCGAGGATTCTATCGTGGAACTCTAACAAGTGCTCTCGATTATGCGTCACAGTCACCGTGGTTATTCCAAGGTTCTTACATTCACGGAAGAAAATCTGGATGAGAGTTCTGTCAACTGCGTTCGTTGCTTCATCCAAGAACGCGAGTTTGGGCCTATGAAACAAGATACGAGCCAAGGACAATCTTTGTCGCTCACCCGACGAGAGCACTGACAGCGTGTGCTCGTCGATTTCTCGATCCAAATCCCCGGCGAATCGCTTCAGAACATGCGACAACTTCAGTTTCATCAGCACCGCGAGCAGTTCGTCCGTCGTATCTCTTCCGATCGCGGCATCATCTCGAGGATAAGTGAGAGCTTTCCGTAGTGAGCCGCAGGCCGCTCCGAAGAACATGTTTTGAGAAACGAACATGACCTGACTGCTTTGTCCGCTGAAGATGACCTGACCTTCGGCTGGGAGCCACAATCTCCTCAGAACGCGCAACAAAGAACTCTTGCCAACGTTACTGGGTCCACAGATGAGGATGTTGTGTCGTATACCGAAGTCGATATTGAGCTCTCTCACGAGAACTTGTCCATTGGGCCCGACGACGGTGAGATTCCTAAGTGAATAACGAGGTTCGGTATCCAACGTCCCCTGTTCGTTGATAATTCTGCTCGAATCATCCATCCCGTCAAGTAATTCGGCTATACGCCGAATCATGGCTTCGATATTAATCAGATGACTGATTATGAAAACGTATTTGTGGCATAGCGTCGCCAATTGAGATACGAGGAAGAATATTTTCGTCCATTTGGCGCTGAGATCGGACTCGGAAAGCTTGTTTTCCGTTGAAAATATATGAGTCCCGCAAATGAGAGCGGTCACTACGCAGACCATTCGGGAATCGAGACGCATGACGAAATGCACTGGAATCGTGAGGAATTGCACTACTTTCGACGCTTGCACGAGCCTGTTGAATGCCTGCTCCGTGTAGCGATACTCCGCGGCGTCGGCTCCGTGCACGAAAGCGATTCGCTCAGCGTTCTCTACGACGTCGAGATGCTGTTGTCGGAAGCGGCCTTCCATCTTTTGTTTTTCACACACTCTGGGGATAATTGGTTTTCGGAGAACTTTGCTGAAGAAGACGATCACGAAGAAATAGCTGACAATAATCATCGAGTATGTCCAGCCGAGGGTGCTCCCCACTTGAAAGAAGTAGTACGTGATTGTGAACGGTGTGGTCATTATCACCGACAGCATCCAACACAGATAATCACCCAAGATGTCGACGTCGGAACCGATGCGTTGATCGGGATTCGGTAGAGGTTTCTCTCGGCAGTTAACTTGGTAAAAGTTGTGATTTCGGAAGTACATATTGTGCACTTTACGGGTGAGCACCTGACGGAACACGACGTTTGCGTAGGCGGTCAGGAAGATCCTACAAGTGCCAACCACGGAATTGAGCAGTGCGATGCCCGCGATTGCCACGATCAGGGTCGAATATGCAGAAGTGTCCTGGCGCGTCACGACACCGACCAGCTCTGCTATCAACATACCACTGTGGTAGTCCAGACCGTTCTCAATGCCCTCGAGTATACACAGACTCGGTACAAAACTACACAGTAATTTGCTGCGACGCAGAACAGTCATAAAAATTTTCAGCACTTCCGCCACGATATTGGGAACTTTTGAAAACTCGACGTTCTCGAGTTCTATTTTTATGTCTCCCGGGGGCATGGCAGCCGACGTTGAGTGTTCCACGAGGCTCGAGTGAATCTTTTGCGGTGAGCGGTAATGCTGTCAACTGGCCACTGATTGGTCAGTCATGCTCCGAGACTTCTCTCCAGGAGCATTATATACCTACATGGTCACACAATGATGGAAAAGATCCCGACTCGGAGTGCGCGTGTGCGACGAGGGACGGTACTTCTGACGCACTTCTGTCACTTATGATGATTTTACCCAAGGAAAAACTCGGTGACACAGGAGGGTTCAAAACATGCGGTCCGGTCCAACGCGCGATCGTTCAGGCGCGTGTGAGCAGGAATCCGTTGCGAGGAGAGAACCAAAAGGATGTTGCCCCGATTGAAAGACGCATATCCCCGATATGGACGAAAATTATACACGGAGCTCCACCTACTCATATCGGTACCTCAAATCAGAGAATGAAGTTGAGCTCTACCGAAATTGAGAGACCAACATAGGGAGCGTGAGGCCACTGCTCGACTGATGGAACGAAAGATAGAGGCTCTGGCCGTTGAGGGCGCCTACGCATGACGGACATGAGACATGAGAATCCGTCTCCAGGCGCAGGCCGGCCTCGAAAGGTTCGAGGTTGTCCCCCATTCGAGCCCCCGATGATGGTGACGGAATTTGTCTTTCAGGCACGTTGCTTGAGAGACTCTGGAACAGAGTGAGAGCTTTCATTAATTACCTCAGAGGAGGGCAGGGTGGAATTTCTAGCAAGTTTTCTATTGAGCAGAGTGAGAGCTCCTCAGGAGCTAGTGCCGGCGAATTTTCTCTCGAGTTGACGCGTGTTTGAACCCAGATTCATGGGGATTCCTCGCCATGCCGGGGATGACTCCTGACTCGAAGGCCGCTCCTGCAATTGAAATCTTTGTTTCACTCGAGGAGAAGGACAAATCGAAATTACGGCGAGGCGGATCCGCGGAAGGCAGACGAGGAAGGTCATCTGAACCTTTCCCGCATGCGGACTACCGAGCATACTCGTGTCTTCTGCTTAGCGTTCAAGCAAGGTAGCCCTTCTCGGATGCTCTCCGAGGGAGCAAGGAGACTAAGGTTCTGATTGCAGCCGAATGCAAAACCTTCATTTCGCACATATATTGGTCTCGACGAGCGGATGTTTCCCGCGACAGACAAGATGGTTTGTCACGTTGCATCAAGTCACGCGGGTGAGCGAACGCATCCATTGATTCAGAGTTGCCGTCCCGCTTCCCGGCTCAGGCGAATCTGCATAGATAGTAGATGCCCGGAGGCAAACACGTCGCTGGCTTCGAGTTGCGGACGTTGAAAACACATCGATAGCAAGCAACCTCCCGCAGAACGAGTCGGCCCAATGATCGCTCGCTCAAGTTGCGAACTCAATCAGGTATTTCCCGAGTGCATGGTTTTTTCCCCAGCTGCAATCAGACCGGGTGGTCAGTGACTTCTGTCCGAGAACGGCGAGATCGTTAGCCCAGTTGCTATTAGACATGCAGCTGGAGAGCAGCTGATGGCGAACGTTGTTCACTGGCTGTGCATGGCTGACCGAGCGGATCGGTTGAAATCAATGGCGAGCCGTCTGAGTAGAAGTGGCAGTAGGTAGCAGTGTGAGTCGCCGCAGGGAAGGCTGAGGGAAACAGAGACAACGGAGAAGACAGAGGCCGAGGTGGCCCTACTCTGATTGTGAGTACGAAGAGACCTGGAAAGCAGCGTGCGAGCGAGCGAGGAAGTAAGCAAGGAGTGTCTAAGCGTAGACGCACATCCTAAGTGGGTCCTCCGAAAACGACAAGTCTCGAGGCTCGCCGGGCGTTGATTGCCTTAATGGATGAGTATTGGCTGATCGAGCGGATCTCCGATTGTATGGAAAAGAGCCTCAGCTCCTGCCAGGAGCTGTTTCCATCGGTCGGAGCCCGCTCTCCTCTCCTTCGACCAGCACCACCGTCCCGTTCAACGCCCGAGGCTTGATGACACCTCCGTAGCTGTTTCACACTCGTGTTGTGCTCTCGTCCGATGAGCCGCCCTGAACTTATGACACGAGCCCCAGCCGACCGAAGGGAGAAAGGGCAATGATCCGCGGTTCCCGCTGACGGAATCGAAATGTATGTATCTTCCACATCAGTACCCCTTTCGGGCCATCTCCTCCCTGCTCGTTTTCTTCTCCAGCTCTCGAAATGCATTAGAGAGACTGTGAGTTGCATTGGATTTCTCCCGACGTAGGTCGTTTCCCCGGCCTCATACATGGATGGCGAGATGGCCTGTACGTTTGTCGAAGCTTTTTAGTCATCCTTTCACATCGAAGGATTGTGAGAACTCAACAAGGGACAGAAGGACACGAAATGGAAAAGCTCTCGATTGTCGTTTCTGAAAAAGTCTCGGCTTTCACTTCAGCCGCAATCATCTGCGAGGAGCTCCGATGCATTTCGTTTCAGTGGAGCGAGCGCAGTTTGTGTTTGAGCTCCTGTGAACTCCCTTTCCCCGGCTGGCTATGGATTGAATTCACCCTCAAGCCCTTCGTGCTGAATGTGGAAATAACAAATCTGAGCAGTAGAATGAATGAGTGAAACTCCAAGGTTCGCGGCGTTCGGCCAATGAATGGCGGGATTCAGATCCTCGACTAGACCGCTGTCTCTAGCTCGGTCCGGGTTCGACTATAGAAGATTCCCGATCATTTGTTGCATGTCGACATTCCTGATGCGTCGTCTCGCTCTCCTATCGCAGCGTCCTCGCGCGCCAGCGAGAATTTACCCCGGAGTACGTTTGTGCACCCCTCAGTTCCACCGATGGCGGCCAGCGGAATTAAGGGAGTTGCCTCAGGCATCCGCAGCCTTGGCTGTCGATAACTCGGTAATCACAAGCGTTCAATGTGAATGATTCGAGTGTCTCCTTCGGACCGACAGACCGGACGGCCGTCGCGTCGGTCGGCCGACGGGATTGTTTGCGTGCTTCAATTATTTTTGTTGTGGTGAGTCATCGACACACTGAGTCAGAGGAGAATTCAGCGCAAACATGTTCCCGGTATCGACCTCCGGGGAAACTTGGGCTGCCCGGGAAAAAAATCGCTACCACGGTTCCTACACCAATAATTCCTGTCGCTGGCCTTCTTCCAGCTCATGCCACTGTTGCCCAGATAATGCCGCTACGGATACCGCCGCCGAACGCCATCGGGGCCGGCTGACTCTCCTCTTCTTTTTCTTCTTCTTGTTTCTCCTCTTACGTACGACCGCATTGCTGTTTTCCCATCGACTACGGCCGTCGGTCGTGGAGGAACTCCCAGACCAACAATTAGTGGGGTTCGGGGATTGATGTTGCCATTCCATTCCAGCGAGCTCGCCCGCCATGCCTCGCCGCCCTATTGGACCTCACCATAACGCACTTGCAGCGCCACCGCCGCCGCTGCTGCTGCTGCCTTCAGCAGCCTCTAGAACAAACTGTGGAGTTGCTCGCGTCGCCGGCAGCTACGCGCAATCGGAGATGATTCCGCGAGGATTTCCGAATCGACAATAGTCGGTAACTCAGGAATCGAAGCATGCTGTGTCGCTTCACAACGCTCGTGTCGAATCGCTCAGGTCAGGGATGTTCCACAGAACGTTCGGGGTCTCTTGCCGTCGGAATTGTTACAGTCGATCGAATTCGCAATTATCGCTCGGAGAGAAGCCAGCAGAGGACACAGACGCGCAAACTCGCTCGCCCATCCGCGCATGGTGCCAACCTTCAACCCACTCACGCATGGGAAGCCAGGCAGAGCCGCGCGGGCGAGCGGAGTTGCATTTGTTAAAAAACTATTCGCTCCGCTTTCGAATCCTCATTCCCGGCGAATACGAATATAGATGAGGTCTGTTATGTCACAGACCGGAATGGATCATGTTCCGAGAGCGCACCGTTTTGGACCTCCGCAGAACTTCCGAAATCCGGAGGCGACATCATCGGAAGGATGACTGAGCAATGGAGGAACAAGCCGAATGGCTCCGAGGTGATATTTGATTTGTCTCAAGCAATATATGTCACCTGGGAAGATTTAGCCTTTCGGGGCTGGATCGCCGATCGTGTCGAAACGTGCTCAGCAGGGAAGGATAGACTGCCCAGGTTTTCTGCTGTTGTCAGATATTTGCATTTGACGGTATTCAATTTCATCACGAAAGAAAACGGTACCAGAGAGCTCGAAGAGAGTTCCCGCATGCCTCCGTTCGCGCTTGAGTTATCCAGCGCTCGCTCGAATTCGCCCCTCGATGGCTCCGTGAAGAAGAAGCTCTATCTCGGAATCGTCATTCCTCACCTTCGTCCCGGGCTCGACGGAATCGACGCTCTGTGTGATACGATGAGACAGCATGCTTTTATTTTGAAAATCAGTATGAACGAAGGGGAACGAAGTGAACGATTCTCGGCTCCTCTGCTCACGATCAGTCTGCCATAGTGGATCCGTCTACGCGCGGAACGAAGGTGTGAATTTCTCCGGGTTTCCGTCATGACGAAACTCCGATGCGTAAGGGAGGGACAGGAGGGGAGGCGAAATAGAGAATCGGTGAAAGGAGGAGGAAGAGGAGGCGGAATAGAGGAAGACCGGTTCCATTCTAGGTAATGAGTTTAGGAGATGAGTTTGAACGGTGAGTGTTTGTGGAGTTCAAAGGAACAGATAGGGAAGCGAAGTGTGTACTTAGTCAGGGGAAGAGTTTCTATTTGAGAGATTTAATTTTAGTTCTTCTGCTCCGACGAGTGATGCCTCTTTCGGTCTTTGAAAGTACCGACGGACTCGCCGTCGTTCCTGTAACGTTTGTAGATCAATTTTCGCGCGTCGGGAGCTCCGCAAAACCAAGAATAAACTCTCCACTGTCCCCGGCTCGGGGAGAACCCGCGGGAGGCCTGATGGGCGTGTCGGATCGCCATCGACATTTTCGAGACGTTTGGAGCGCAACGGCCGAGTCCTGACTGACTGAGAGAGATATTTAATATATCCCAACCAGGAGCCTCGCGCTCCTCTTTGAGCGACGTGGAATTATCAAGGAATCAAAGAACTTCGG